AGTTTTGGGATTTTACTTTAAATTTTTTTTTTTTTTTGTGTTAGACAGTTGTGGGGGAACGCAAGCGCTTTCTCTTAAGGTCCCTTATGACCCGATAAGAATTTTGATCAGTGGAGACTAATTAAGAAAAGTTCGATCAAGAGGAGTTTGGTGAAAGAGGAGTTCAATTAGGAAGAGTCTAGTCATGAGTATTTCAATTAAGGGGAGCCTAGTTATGAGAAGTTTGAGCAATGAGAGTTTGATCAAATGGGCAATCATATTTTGGTATAACTTCTTCATGGTCCAAAGAGGGAGATTGTTGAGTTTTATTCTAGTCCATGATGAGTTGTCCTAAGTCTATTAGGAATTATAGTCTTAGAGGATTAAATTGTCTACCCAATAAAAGTTGTTTTCTTAGTTAGAATGGTTTCCCAAATAGACTTGGTTTCTCAATTGGAGAAGGATTCATAACTAAATTTCAATTAATGAGGATTACTAATCCTTACTGAAGAAGACCTTTATTGTGTCTATAGAAAGGGGCTACTGCACTAGTTTTGAATTTGTTAACGCTAGAAAATTTGTTGGTTAACAAATTAAACGATGAACCTTTGGTGGGCTTTGGATACGAAATGAGTGGATTGGACTTAGAGATGTAAGAGGTTCATCTCTCAAAACTAGGCTAAGTCCACTGTGCTACTTGAATCTATTTAAATTTCAAGATAAAATAGTGCTTGGCTGATGCATCAATTCTTTCTTCTCTCAGTCGTTCGACCCCAATATAAGAGGTCTCACCCCTTTATATAGGTCCTTAATAAACCTTTCAGCCTTGGGTCACCCCAACTTGGCATTTATTGCGCCATCTATGTAAACTATAGTGCTTATACCTTTTCACTTATCAGCCTGACATTCAGCGATGAAATGACATGTGTTCAACTAAAATGGCATGATTGTTCAAAATGGCCACGCCGAGCACCCTGCTTGACCTTAGTTATCCAACTTTACCTCCCCAAGCATTGTTCTGACTATCCTTACATCTCATTTTAGGCCTCTACCGCTGACTATGGGCTGCCATGTGGCGTGATTGACATATGGGTAGTGAAAATGAAATCAGGACATCAAACTAATCATAGGAACATGAGATTAGTTTTTTCGCCACGCACTACAACCACGTGTTGCCACACTCAGCGACCAACAACCATCTCATTCATTGAATTCCAGCCAACGCCAGCAAAGGCTTATTTTACATCATATGAAGATCAAGAGGAGAAGAGTAAGTTTTATATCTACCTCGACATCTAATTTCGCTGAAAAATGCCTAAAATTGGCAAGGAAACGTTAGGACACCCAAAACCCTCACAACATCGATTCGCCTTCATCAGAGCTTCAATATCTCGAAACCTAATTGAATTTTGTTGCACAAGTCAAGATGAGTCAGTGGTTATTGGTGGTTGATGTCAGAGTGAAAAGAATCACGAGATCAAAGACGAGAGACTCGGGACACTGTCGACTAGACTTGCCATGAATGGTGTCCAAATGGAGTCGTGTTTAGGTGGAATGTGTTCCTGGGAAAGAGAGGAGTCGAATAGTTGTGGTGGCAACGTTTTTTGTTGCTGGAGCGCGCCAAAAACGGTGTTTGAAAATTCCCTAAGGAACCAGGTCAGTCAAGGGGAATTTGGGTCAATAGGTCAAATGATGGGTCAACTTTTTCAAAACTAGAAACCCCTAATCCCCAGTGTCTGCCGCTGCCACCCTTTGCCCCTCCAGAAAAAACTGGAGTTTCTTTATATATTTGTCCAAAAGAAAATTTGCCCTACCCTTTGTTTGTTAACTTTTCCTTCATTATAATGTCAATTTGCGAACAATTTCCGCCTACACGTTCGTTGGATCGAGTTCTACTCGAAAATACTAAGATTGATCCTGAAAGGTCTATGAATTTTTAATGACGAATTATGAAATTCCAAACTTTAACTAAGAAATAAAAAAGATCCAAAATTAACGAAATTAAAATAAATTTCATTTTTCGAAATATGGAACTTGAATAGTGAAATTTGTGGGCGGGTTTTCACATAATACTTGTGTGTTTTTTAGGCATTGATCGTGTCTGAGTGCTTCGATCTTCATGCTAGAGTTGCTAGTAGCTTAATGAGATGTCACACCCCGAACCCAGGGTTAGTAATAAAAACTCGAACCCGAATTTGAAATGTGAGTTAAAAGCTCAATAAATAAAATGAAATAGAAATGGGTTGGAAAATAAATTCCTCTTATTAAAATAATTCATGATTCTTAAACAAATCAAGAACTCTTTACAATCTACAATAAATAGATGAATAAACATTATATTCTCACATCTAATCTAATCTCATCCTGCCTACCCTCTTAAATGTCTAGTTTGTAAACCTGCATAACAATAAAAGGATGAGCTTCAACAACTCAGTAAAGACATAATCTTATCACAATAAATTGGCAATATTAAATTAAGCGCCATGAAATCATATAGCCAAATATCAAAACATAAATGATAACAATGCATGTATGCAATCCAACCTCTTTAGTGTCACCCATTAATTTATATAATAAAACACGCGGACCTGCACGTCTCATACCATGCATTTTACCACTGCAGTGGTGGTTCGAATGTTCTATCATAGAAACTAACCCCCATACGATATCCCAAATTCATAAACCCCTTTTGCTAGTCTTGTTATCTAATTCATTGATCTCCAGCCTAAATCACCCATATCGACAATTATCCTGCCGATATCCTATTCTAATGTGCACACCGGGCTTGCATGGAACTGGTTTCATAATGAATAGATTCAACGACACAAAATATCCTTTCCAACTACCCTCATTTCCCGAATTCCAATTTCAACACTGAAATTCCAACCACATCTCACAACATGAGTTATGCACAAATAATGTTATTTCATCTTTCACATATATCACAGTATATTCTCAACGAATAGCATTCCAGCAATAATTCCATAACCAATAACAAGTAAACACTTAACTGAAACAATTAGCCAATTAATATCTAACCACATTAATCAACCAAAAAGATCAAGAATATTATAACACTTCACGAAATTTAAAAAAATCAATTTCCGTAAAGGTATGCCGTATTTCACGAAATTTAAAAAAATCAATTTCCATAAAGGTATGCCGTATTTCCCCTACATGGATCCCAAGGCTAAAATAAAGATCCACATCACTACCAGAATAGCTAAGCTCCACTTACTTATCCACATCACTACCGAAATAATTAAGCTCTATGTACTTAAGCAAGTTCCTTGATCACTCCTAAATCATCATATATTTTTTTCTACCGTCTTTTATCTTCTAATTTTTCTCTCTAAACATATGTATACACACCTCTACGTAAGAAAAACACTTGCAGGCATAGCATGCATTTCTCAAAAACAATTTCACGTTTGAAAACGGTTGGAGGAATGTCCCGTTTATACTGAAAGATGGCGGCAGCAAAACTTGGGGATTAAATAAAAATAATTACAAATAAACATTGGTCCTTATCCTTGTGACACTTGTCAAAGTAATATATATTGTAAAAAAAGAAAACTAATAAAAAGAACTTGAAAACTTTGAATTTTAACGATAAGGATAAAATAAAAGGTAAAGTAAATAGTAACATGATTGACTTTTTAGTGTAAAAATATGGTTTTTCGTTAAAGTGAACAGTACCATGAGCTTTTTCTTAAAACTCCCTTGTAAAAACTATTTGGTACATCTGTCTTCCTCTTACCAAACCACGTCCATGTTATCTAATTGCCTCCTCATGCTAATATTACGCTTTGAACTATATGTATTTATATAATTATTACTGTCAGCCATTAGTATATTTAGGGCATGTATTATGTTTATTAATACTGTCAACCATGATTATATTTGGGGCATATATTATATTTATTATTACTATCAATCACGAGTATATATAGGGCATATATTATATTCATACAATAGATGATTGAATGTGTGTGGATCAATCACGAAAGGTCGGTTGAATGCATGTGTGGATTCATTCGAGATGTCGAGTGAGATTATCTTATATATACAAACGATTCCAAAATGATTTTTTTCTAAATGTGATTAATTCATTTTAATCACATATGTCTTATTACTGTAATTCACACAAGATTTATAGCTTATCTAGGTTTTGCTTTGTTTGGTGCATCACTCCTACAATGTGGAGCTGTTTTTTTGCATAGTACATGTGGCAGTTAGAGAATAAATTTTAAGGGGTGTAGTTCGCGTGTGCAGTGTACTTGAGAGTAAGATTTGTTCCCTTTTATTGTAATTTCGTTTCCGCTAATACTCTGATGTATATTATGTATAAGTCCACCTGACTCTCTATATTATTGTATTGCTACTTTTGTCTGCCATTTGTTGATCCTTACTTATCTTGGAATCGTGGCGTGACAGTTAGCACCATCAGCCGTACCACCATCACCATCACCTCCCAACATAGTTGTCATCATTGCTGCCACCACAATTTCCACGCCGTCACCTAACCGGCATTGCTACTGCGGTACTACCAATATCTCCCTCCATCATTGTCGTTTTTATGCATGTGTCGCATAAAGACTTTCTCGTATGTGATATTGTGAAATTTATTGAGTAGGATTCTCCTCTCCAAATTCCCTCATTTCCCATCCCATCCTCTTATAATTTTCTCTTTGTCTTTCTCTCTCTATAAAGAAATTAACAAATGATGATGATGTGACTTATCTGTAATCATTTTAATAAAAAAAATTGAAAAAGAGAGATTAGAAGAGGAGAGAACTCCACCGGTAGAAAGAATGCATGTCATGCACTTTCTTTTGCCTTTCTATCCATTTTCCTTTTCTTTCCCATTTTCTATTAAATCTTCTTGGGCTGAAGCAGAACAATGAACCCAAGTCCACCACAGCCAAAAGTCCAATCCAATCCCACTTCTCTGGATCAATCAGCGCGAACAATGAACCGCTGTCGTTTTAAGTTTCATAGTGGGACCCACTTAAGTCTGCGCACGTGTAGGCTGTAAGCCTGTATGTCCTTCCTTCCACTTCAGCAGCCAAAAGTCCACCGAACTTTGCCGAACACCATTTCACTCGCTGCTTCTGTGTGCTGTGCTATGCTTCCTGAGATTTTGAAGAACCAATCTTTCGGTACGTATCTGAAATTTCTTGCTCCAAACTTCAGCAATTTTCTCAATTTGATCAATTTCCGGGTAAAATTAAACTTAATCTCATGAAAATTCCATTATTTATTTATTTTTGGTTTCTTCAGTTGAAGTAAGAAAGTGTGATTTTTGGGGACATTGATGCTAATAAAACATGGAATAAATTCTGGGTTTGTTGCAAGAACTTGCCTTTACATGTTGGGTTCGTCTGGTGTGCTGAGAAGGCAACAGTTTCTGATAAGGTCTCTCGGAGTTGGAGGTTGCAGTGATCGTAACACCATCACAAATCAGAAGGCAATGCAAGGAATTATGAAATTCACGAATCGACCCTCTTTGGAAGCCGACGCCGAGAGCATTTTGCGAGCAATCACTCCGACCCTCGATCCCAACAGACACAAGGGTCAGGCTGGTAATTAATCTCACACTGCTCTGCTACCAATGTCACCTAAACCCTAAACCCTATTTATTTATTTTTATTCGAGCGAGGGAGGGGGATTCGAACCCCCTTTGTGCTCGATGTTTACAATGTCGTTTCTTTAACTTTGTGTAATTTGTATGTAAAGACAAATGCATTACAGTATGTATTTGTCAATGATGATTGTTGTGCGTGATACAGTGCAAGTATCGAGAATTACGGAAATCATTTTGATGTTGATTCTAGGACTGACTTGCTTTGGTTTCTATTCGGATTGTGGGCCTTATTTGCTTTGCATAATTTTTCATTTACTTCTCTCTTTCTAATGTTTTTGTTCATTGTTTTGTTAAGAAGGGGAGAAAATGTAGCTTATATCTATCTCTCTGTGCTTGTCAGGAAAGATAGCTGTTATTGGCGGGTGTCGTGAATACACTGGTGCTCCATACTTTTCTGCTATCTCAGCATTAAAAATTGTTAGTGCCCTGCTCTTTTTGTTTTAAGGAAAATAACTACAACTTTAGCTGGATTCTATTAAAAATGTAGCTTAGTGTACACTGAAATGAAACAAACAAATGAACAAGTGATTTGCTTTGTTGCTTGCTAGTTTGATGGAACTGAAATATATTTCCTTTCAGGGTGCAGACCTGTCCCATGTCTTTTGTACAAAAGATGCAGCTTCGGTCATAAAAAGCTACAGTCCTGAGTTGATTGTACACCCAATTTTAGAAGAATCGTACAGTGTTAGGTGATTCAGCTTTGTAAACAAGTTGATGTGCTTATAACACACAAAACATACTATCATTAAGTCAGCTGCTGAGTTTATAACATGGTTTTCAGGGATGAGGACAGAAGTTTTGTCTCAGAAAAGGTTCTTGCTGAAGTTGATAAATGGATGGAAAGATTTGACTGTCTTGTCGTTGGTCCAGGCCTCGGAAGGGACCCATTTCTTCTGGTTAGCTTTATGTTGATGCTGTTACTTGTGGAGCTGTTGTAATCTAGTTTATAGCGTTTGATTTGGGGTACTCTAAACATGTCCTCCTCTTTAATACTGTATGATGAAGGACTATAATGTAGTGCGGTTAAAATCTTTACCAAATCCTTTCAAAAATGGTTCTAAGATTGAATGACATAATCTAGGACTGTGTGAGCAACATCATGAAGCATGCAAGGCGGTCCAATGTCCCAATTGTCATTGATGGGGTATGTAGTCACTATTTTCTTTATCCTTGTTTTGATGTGAGTTGATAATTATCTTTTGTAGTGTGTACTTTTTGCTTCAAATTCTAGCCATAATGGTATAAGCTTTTCCAGGATGGACTCTTTCTGGTCACAAACTGTATTGATCTTGTCAGTGGATATCCCTTAGCTGTGCTGACCCCAAACATAAATGAATATAAGCGCCTTGTACAGAAAGTTTTGAGCTGTGAAGTAAATGATGAAGATGCTCCCAAGCAAGTACTATCTCTTGCAAAAAGGTTAATATCTTTTCTAGCTTTTCCGTTTTGTGTTGGATTAGTTGATAATTACTTTATCTATACTTAAGTCTAAGTATAAAATAACTACTTATCTATACTTAAATCTCAGTATAAAATATGTAAAACCTATTTGGCTGAGAAGGGAATAAGGATATTTTGCAAATATTGGATAGAGCCATCTGATTAGTGATTATTCAAAATGTGAGGTAGACAATGTTGTCAGAATGCCCATGTAGATGCATCTGTCTGAATGGTTTCCTCATTTCTGCTTCATGCATTATTTTGCATTGTGATGTATTTTTTCCCATGCTATAAAATTTGCAATTTGGTACTTGTAGTTGTTTCTTTCAATCTAACGATTTTTTAGTCTTTCTCTTTCAGGATTGGTGGTGTAACTATACTTAGGAAAGGAAGATCTGACCTCATTAGCGATGGTGAGACAGGTATGTGAGCATATACCTGCAGCGTGCTTACTGGTAATATGTGAAGTTATTAAAGCATGTGTTTACTGGTAATATGTGAAGCTGTTGCTTTAATAATGTTGATATTCCATGAATATTTGTTTTTCCACATCTAAGTTGGGAACACCAGTAAGCATCGCCAAAACTGCTGGTATGGTTGCCTCTTAGCTGGTGGAGAGGATATTTCATGTGACACACTTGACGAATGTGAACTTGGGTTGCTACCCTTCCAGCAGCTTCTGTCAATCAGGTGATATGAAGCTGGGTAATTGGCATGCCTAATGTTTTGTGTCCACGAAGGTCATTTTTTACTTGAAGCTGGGGCCTGAGAGCCATACCATACTTGAATCTCTCCACACCAAAGGGTTCCATTTGTCTTTTTCTTTGTAAATTTTCTGCAAATCACATGATTTGTTTTCTAAATTTTCTAAATTTTCTTCTTTAAGCCGAATCATAGGCTTTTTGTCTTCTTTCCAGCTCATTGACTAGTTTAGGTTTTGGAAACATCTCTGTTTTGTTCCCCGGATATAAAAACCTGGACTCTATTTACCTTTAACATTTGATGCTTTTATGCAGTCAACTCAGTGAGCATATACGGTTCTCCTCGACGATGTGGTGGGCAGGGTGATATACTTTCTGGAAGGCAAGTTTTTGTTTCTGAGTTTCAGTTTGATTTATGTTTGTACCATACTTGACCAATCCCGAAACTACCTGATTTTGTGCATCAACAATTTATTTTTTAAATAAAATTTTGCTAAACATTTGGATGGCTTCATTTTGTATCTGGTGAATTTACAATCTTCTTCATTTTCCAGTTTTTTCAAAGAATGCATAATTGTAATATCTATTTATGTAAAAGAGAGATAGAGATCCATACGATATTAAAATTATTCTCCGGGTTATATCTTGTTCAACATTTGAATTTCTACAGTCAGGAGGTGATCGCTGACTGATGCTTCAGAACTCAGATTCTGAGAGCTTACAAAACGCTATGTTGGATAACTAACAAAAACTTGTTTTGGTTATTCCAGCGTTGGTGTATTTCTATCATGGGCCCGTCAAAAGATCAAAGATGGGGATTTGAGTACCAGGTTTTAACAGTCTAAATATGTCTTCATAATTTTGGTTCTACCCATGTTTGACAATTGTTTGTACGCAATTTGTGTTTTTTACAGTTCCAGAAATCCTGCACTACTGGGGTGCATTGCTGCGTCCGCTTTAATGAGGAAGGCTGCATCCCTTGGTTTCGAGAATAAGAAAAGGTCAACCCTCACTACCGATATCATCGAGTGCTTGGGGAGAAGGTAGTGGACCTTAGCGTTGATCAATTATCATGGGCGATTTTAGAGTTCAAGTGTAAGATATTACTTTCTCTGTTGCAGTTTGGAGGATGTCTGTCCAGTTGGTTGATGCTGTCGACTTCCAGAGCGTAGCATTTGATCTACTGACATTCAGAGAGACATCAATTTCATTTGGTTATGTTACGTCGGTCAGAATCACGTTTTTTTCTGTTTCCTTCACACCTTCCAGACTATTTGACTTGTAGATATACGATACTAGTTTGTTGTTGCTGCCGTTCTTTGGAACTCTGGATGATATCATATAATAAGGATGATGTTTTCGTGAGTATATAAGCTGCGCCGACAGCCGGGGTGTTTCCAAGCCATAAACCTCTGTTAGATTTCATTACACCCTCTTAACTTATTATTATGAACATCAACCCATTTTGGTTCCCCATTTGAGCGATGACAATGACGCATGGCATCGTTAACGGAGAAAGCGCGGTGTCCAAGTTCTTGACTCATGGAGCCATAAGGCAGTACGCACCATGAAAATACGGACAACAATGTTCAGATCGGCAATGGAATTTATGATTAGCGTTCCAATTCATTTGTATTTATTTTCACTTGTAAATAACAAGCTCGATACTTAATTATGGCTCTCGTTAAATTTCTCTCCTCAGTATTGTTGAAAAATAAAAATCCCTTCTTTCAAACAGGGCGTGCCGTTTACATGGAGAATCTGCCCTGTAATCGAATAATAAACATGTTGAGTGAGCTAGAGACAAGGGTGCATGCATAAGGAGACTCTCCCCTTCAAAAAGGTACCCACAAGGCAGAAAAATGGCTGGTTGGCACCACAAATATGGATTATGGAGGACCAGAACAGCACAACTGGTAGAGGATTTTTTACAGAAAAGTAGGGCATATGGCACCATTCATCTTTTTTCTTTCCCCAGATTCTTCTGCCACTGAATACAACTAAAACATGTGGCCACATGCCAAGCATAAAAGTGGAATGAATCATGGTTTTGTTCCTTAAAGTGCTTGTAAGGTGCATTGACCAATTTCCTCCTCAATTACTTCCAACTTGTCAACCTGAAAAGGAATCAAACAAGACCTCTAGATTTACAAGAACAAATACAGAACAACCAGATTGTTTACAGTACCAGAATCCACACCTTTCACTTGATCTTTTCAATTTTCATGTACCAAAACCAAATATTTTGCAACTGTAAGGACCGGAAATAAAGCAAACTGTGTAACTATTGTATCCAAGATAAACACTTTAAATTGTAAGCCTTCGATTACAAACAATGATGATATAGTCAAAGGATGTTCTGGTTTTATACTCCATTATCTCTTTTACTCGATATCTTCGTGCGGTTGCTGTTGTTGATGTGGCCACGTTGGCTGAGCAATGTACGGATGTGTCTGTTGGCCATACAGATTCTGATCCATCGCACCAACCTGTGGAGCATGCTGAGGAGGCATGTAATAGTAAGGAAGGCCATCAGACGGACCCCCAACTGGGAGATTCCCACCTCTTGGGATTGATGCAAGTACTTCATCTTTCAAATCCTCTCTTGGGACGATATCAACTAGAAAGTCAAATATATCAGTCCGCGTAATTGCTGCTGCAATGTCGTTCTTTTGCAGTGTTCTTCTTTTGTTCTCCTCAGTGTGATTCCAGGACCGCATTGTCAACTCTAGAATGAACATCTCACAGGCCCTAGCAAATATGACAGGAGCTTCAGCTGATATCATCCTCACATCCTCATCTGCCTTCATAATCTTCTTAATCCTGGCCAATGGCAAACTATGGTTTTTGAAATCATTAGTTTGATCAATTTCTTTATGCTGCTCTCCCCAAAATTTTTGGAGTTGTTGCTGCAGTTGCTGTTGTTGTTGCTGGTGGATGTGCTGATAAGCTAGCTGGTGTTGTGCAAGCTGAGACGAGGCAGAAGGACCTGCTGGCTGAGTAGGAGATTGCATCATCCCAACTGATCCATACGGGTTCACACCATATGATGCTTGAGCTGCAGTACCCGCCACTCCCATTGTTGCAGGATGTCCATGCCCTTGCTGATCCATATTGATCTTTGCTCACTTTTGGTATATAGTACATAATAAACAATCAGTATAAGAAATTACAAGTTTCAAGAGTTGAACCTCCTAAACCTTGACAAAAAGTAGAGAATGCTTAATAACAACTATGGAATTTTAGCTCCCAAATTTATATGAGCGCTGGCCGTTAAACCATCTAACACAAGTCACGACCTTCATCTCAAAGGGTTTGTGACCAGTTGTGCCACTAAAAATAGGAAATGGCTTCCACACACCCATTTTACCCTTTTGCACACCCTTATTTATTTTTGTCCCCGTATTCTCCTTTGATTTATTCAATCAAAAGGCCAAAAAGAACAGGGCTCTGCAAGGGAGAAAATTGGTGTGTGGAAAACACATCCCTAAAAATAAGACTAGATACTAAATATTTAGAATAATTCAATCCTAATCCCCCATCAAAGCTTCAAACTCTATAATGACAAACAATACCAAAATTCTCTTCCGCCTGAAATCAGCATTAGAAACCTTTAACCAAATTGCTCCTAAGAGGAGGTCTAGCATAACTGTATATGCCATTCGAGTACTCTTATGGTTTATACCAATCAACTTTGTTCCAATTAGCAATCAATCCTGTCATAACTACCACTGCACCTTTTGTCCCATCCAAATAGCTGATTACACTATGAAATTCCATTGCACAACCGAGACTAATATCTGAAATCGAGTATCCTGTCTTAATAGGAAAATCCATAGAACTTTGTTTGGGAACAAATAGTATATACCTCAGGCATTCGGCTACTCTGATCAGTAGCTTGCCTCTAAAAATTGGACAAGCAGGAACTGCACTTGGCATGGCATATTCACCTTTCACTCAAAGGTCAAAACTAGACACAAGCAATCAAAATCGCATGCAAATGTTCGTACCCAAAAGCGCATGTACTCTCCCCTTCCCCCCAACAGAAAGAACCAAAAACAAAACAAAACAAGCAAGGCTAGAGGCCTTTAAATTGAGTTGCATAATTTTCATCCGGAGCGAAAAAGACCCGAGTCAACTCAAAGTCTCAAACCTCTGCACACTAACTCACCGAGAGAGATTCTAAAGTAACAAAAACCCCAGAAAATTTCTTGGTTTTGACTTACTTTCACAAACACACACACCACTTATGTATTACACTTAAGGGTTACTATACTTAGGGTAAACATACCCCCACTACAGTAAATTCACCACACTCAAATCAAATCTAGGGTTTCAGAAACCCTAACAAAATAATTCAAGAACAGATAATAAGACCAAATTTCACTTATTAAACACCAAATCTCCACTAATCACATATAAAATTATTCGTAAAAGATTATATAACTCATGCATGAAAGAACAAACACACAAAAATTGGTACCTTTGGCTCACTGCTCTGTTCCCCAATTCTGGGTTTTATTCAACCACCAAAACCCTAAACAGAAACCAAAGAAATCAATGAAATTCATGCACCAATTGAACTGAAGCTTCAGGCAAAAATTGAAGTGCTGCCAAATACTACAAAAGGAAAATTATTTATGATAAAATTTGAAAAAATACATAAAAATCGAACCTTTGTAATGAATTTCTAGGGTTTTTGGAATAATCGATCAAATAAAACAGTAAAGGCAGCGCGGAGCGGAGTGGGGATCGCAGTGGAGAGTGGAAGATTGAATGTAAGTATGTGTGTATTACTGTAAATAATGCCTTCCACTACAAAAAAGCGCCAGGTTTGGTTCGTCGTCGTCCCAACTATAACTTTTAAGTTTGACTTTTTTCACTCTGACGATTTTACCCTCCTAATTTATTAATTGTTAAAAGGAAAATAAAAATAAAAATATCTCCCCCAACTTGTCAACTGCCTAATTTATAGTTTTAATGAGTTAAATTTGAGATATTTTGCTTAATAAAAGGGTCCTTGAATTCTAACTCATATAAAGATTGAACTTATGGCTGGTTTGGTATTGCTGTGCTTTGAAAAAAATTATTTCTGCTATGTTGTGAGAATAAGCAGCTGCGAAATAAAGCAGCAGAGTTTTTGGTAAACTTTTTTGTAAAAGTGCTTTTGAAAAAAAAAAAAAAAGCAGTATTATACTGTTTGGTAAACTTTTATGTAAAACAGATGTGAAAAAAACCAGTTTTTCAAAGCTGGGTTTTGCAGCTTCTTGTTTTTGGCTTTTTTTCACCCAAAACTGCGAAAAAAAAGCTGAAGCTGAATGTTTACCAAACATAAAAACAGCTCCCAACTTTTTTCAGAATCATCTCAGTAACAAACTAGGCCTTACTTTCACCATCCTAAACCCTAAATTTTGTAACTACTCTAACACCTAAACTAATAAAATCTCCTTTGACCAAAAAAAAAAGGTGTTGGAGTTCTAAGCGTCAATGGGCTGGTGTTTGTGTGAACTAAACTGAAATATCTAGCATTACCTAGTTTTATGTGGGCCATGGGCTATGGACACGACATCAATCAACATGAACTCTACCCAAAGCTCATGACTCAATAAGTTGACCTATGTTTTCATTTTTTAAAAATTACAATCTGTGGTTTCTAGTTAAGAATTCTTCCAATGTTGACAAAAGAAATATGCATGTGTGTGATAGGAAAATTGATCAATGTTAGAAGAATGGTTCTTTTGTTGTGTATCAACCACTGAATCGACCAAGTCGATGAGAAAATTTATGGGGCTGGTAACCTAGTTAAACTTGGTTGATTATTAATGAGGATAAGATGATAAATTATGAAAAAAGAGAAACGTACTCGTGCGTATGCAAGGTTGGTGTAGTGCTGATTCAATGACTTGGAAACATTATTCTCTGGTTCGGTTTGGTTTACTGAGTTCTAAATTGACCCAAAAATAACAGTTTGGTTCAACTTTAACTGAAAATAATGAGGTGAAATCAAACTTATTGTTGTGCAGCTTGATCGATTTGTTTTGATTGGTTTGATAGTACAAAGCTACTCTATCAGTTCATTCGTTCCACCCCAATATTTGTACATGTACATAATGTTCAAGAATCTGAGCCATCCAACCATAATATATAGACAAGAAAATAATCTTAAAAATAGGGACAAATGACAATACCTTGTCAATGTCTTAGCTTTAAATCATGAGTAGAGAGAAAGTTAGAGATCTGTATGGATGGGGCCATTGTTAAACAACAAAGTCACAAAAAAAAAAAAAAAAAGCATTTACTAAACAAAATATTTATATATTAATCCATAACATTTTTCATACAATGTATTACAATATTCCTCAACGCATTTTCATGTTTTGAAAGTGTTACATGACAACTTCATAACCTCTAGAGATCTATATAAAAATAACCATGTCATTATGTTCATCCAGTGATCTCCCATCCAATTTCTCAATTGATTTTTTAGAAATTTCATGCCCGAAAATACTCTTTCAACATTAGTAATTGCAACTAGAAGAATTAATACTAATGTCACGAGCAAGTAAACTAATTATACACCTTGTTAATGACACAAGTATGTATATTTTTTTGTGTGCCAAAAAAACTCATGGGTGGGAGAGAGAGAGGCGCGTGCGCGACAGGTTGGCGGGAATGTGCATGTGAGGGTGACTCTTGGGAGAGTGGAGCCGTCCATTTCCGGCAACTTTTCTGTTTAAAAGTTTCCATAACCCATTTTCATTCGCAGAAACATTACCGTATGTTGGTTGGGGATTAGATTTCTCAAAATGCGAAGAGGTCTTGGCTGGTTGTCTTGTCTCCGAACTTGTACAAGGTCTCCTGCATTTTGAGGAATCTAATCCCAACAAAAAGTTGTCTTTCATTCCTGTGAGCCTCCCACGTTGATGGAAAGAAGAGTACTACAACAACATGAAAATTGCTTATAGGATGAGAGGTGGGTGATTTTCTCATCCTAGAGAGAGCTCGATCTGCTTTCGGTTTAGGGTTTAGTTGATCTCTTTTCTCGACTTTTACATATTTGTCTAATCTAATTAACCAGCTTCAAATGCAGTTTCATATTCCAGTACTTTGATTTTCATATATGTATGATAATTGCGTGCTGAATATGGTTAATTATGCTCTTACGATAGATAACAGTATCATTAGTAGTAGTAGGTTATTTTAACTATTGTCTTTGCTTTTGTTTCCCAAGACTCGAGAGATGACTTACATGAATCAGGACGCAACTGTAGTGGTGAATCCATTCCACGTAAAATTGCCCTCCAAGACTACCGAGGGTGAGGATGGATGAATAAATTTGAATTATCTTGAATTCCCCTTTTGAATTTCCAAATTTCTTTTTTAAACTCTCTCTTTGCATCTATAAACTCCACAAGAGATTTTACAGTAAATCTGTTGTAATATTCCCTTCATAGTTATAAGAAAATGAAAAGTTATAGAATGAAAAATAAAAAATTATCAAAATTAAAAGGAAATGAATAAGAGGGATACAGGTCATAACCAGCAAATAGCAAGAGATTATGTTAATTTCTAGAGTCTATGAACTGGTGTCGGCCACCTTGGGAGCGCAAAGGGTAGATTTCTGAGAAATGAACTACGAAATCAAACAGATGTTTTTCAGTTTTCTCTAACCTTCCTTCACCAATGTGAAACGTAACAATGTGGTCATCGAATTTGAAATACACGGTAGCGGCCGGTTGCCATGTAGTATTGTTGTAGGGGGAGTGAAATCCAAACCTCCAATCTGTTTTATGCGTTGTATCTATTGCGTGTAATGAGAAAGACTCAACTGTTTATAATTTTACCCTTATTAGTGGGCCTGCATAACAGAGGCAACTCTCTTCATTCACAAGGTAGACGCATGATCCAAATTTAGTAAAGTTACAACTATTCAAACAAACGCTCGCCTACTCGGACTAGTACTACTAACCTCTTCCTTAGATGAGGAGTTGTTATAGCATGGACACATGAACCCACCTAACACTATTACAATACTACGATTGTGAACTGTAGAGGGAGGAAGTAAAAAGTCAAGTATTGAGTCATCAAGTTAGTTAGATGTTTGTTATAATCCTCTTGTAAATTGGTAGATTAGTCAAGGGCATAAATGTAATTGTGAGAGTAGTAAATTGCCTATATATAATGAATCATCATTGTAATTTTATAAACATTGAATGAAATGGAAGAGGTATTTTCAGAAACTGTGCATCCTTAGCTTCTACATGGTTCCGTTGCCAACCGCTTCACGGCTTCTTCGATCCTATTGAATTTTTCTTCTCTGATCTTCTGCTCCTCTGATCTTCTCCGGTGTGCTGATTAACTACTTGTTCCACTCCGATTTAGATTTCTGACTTGTTAATCTTGAATCTTGATGGCGTCTTCGTCTGAATCCTCTTCTCTGGTTGAGTCGGTGCCTGCTCCAAACCCTCTTCAAACCCTAATTTCTCCCAATCTTATGCTTCTCTCACGATCCAAAATATCTGAAGTATAGTTCCGATCAAGCTCCGGTGATCAAATTATCTCCCATGGCGTGCTTTATTTGCACCGATCCTTCGTCATTAAAAGCTCTTTGGTATCATCGATGACACTAAGCCTAATCCATCGCTCTTTCTGTCGGATTGTTTGCTTAATCTTGCCTTTGAGCACTGGTATGAGAAGGACCAAAATCTGCTCATTTGGTTTAATTCAACTCTCTCTGAGGAAGTCATTTCGTTCACCGTTGGTGTCTTATCTGCTAGTGATCTCTTGCTCAAACTTGAGCAACGATTTGGTGGGGTCTCGGATGCACATATTCATCAATTGCGTTCCATGACTTCAGAATATTCAGAAAGGCTCTTAGTCAATTTTTGATTATCTTTAGCAAATCAAGGAGATCTTTGATTCTCTCACTGCTGCTGGAGCCTCTATTGCTGATCCTAATCTCATTGCAGCAACTCTTACAGGACTGCCTGATGAGTTTGAATCATTCATTTATTCAATCTTGCTTCGTCTTTCATCTCTTTCCTTGGATGAATTACATGGCTTGTTACTTACTAAAGAGTTATCCTGGTGCGTTGCAAGAAAACTTCCTCTTCCAACCCTTTTCAGGCGTTCTCTATGCAAGCTCAACAACCATTAATTCCCACACCACCAAAAGCTCTTGCTGTCCAGAGTCATGGCACTCAGCTTGTAACACCCTGCCCCGAAATATTTATTTCAAAAATAATATCAGTGATAGGCCCAAACTAAACTCTTGTTTATATAACTACCATTAATCACGATTCTTTAATTAAATTCCTTAATCTCACACATGATCTATAACCATAATTCTCTCACCAACACATACGATTATATTTTCAATTTATCACCATTTTCTTCTCTTAGATCAAATTTTCCAACTAAAGATTAATTCTTGATTATTTAAGGCTGCATCTAACCCTGTTAAGTCACCTACGTATCCTTGAGCAAGATCAAGCCTTTTGTAGTTCACTTTTCAATTTCAACCTTTCCAAAATTATTCAATTAATCGAAAAATCCAACATTTGTGTTAATAATCGAAACACATCAAATGGATACTAAAAACGTAATTGGAATATCAAAATTCACATAAAAAAATAGCGTTAGCTCACTGGCCACGCGCCGCCGCAAGTGGCGGTCGGCCGCCCCAACTCACCAGAAAATTTAACTATTTCCAAAACTTCCCAAATTTTACAGACAAGTAAATCTCAATGAGGGAAGCAATTTTCATACCTATGCCCAAGTCCAATTTGGCTGTGAAATGCCCCAATTTCACTCAAACCCACTGGAAAACCTAAGAA